CTCAGGGTGTAGACAAAATGCATTAAAATTCCTTGCCATGCTGTACTGTAACACCGGTGACCTCTGTGCAGTTTCCACCCGAGCCCTCTTTCCCATCTGCGACATCACCAGTGGTTCCTTGACCTTCTGCCTTTCTGTCGGTGTTCTATCTTCTGAGCCCTGGTAACAATCGCCGGTTCAGCCCTACTTGCAGCATTCTAGGCTTTCTCCCACCCACTGCTCCACACTCCACACTTCACATCTCTCCCATAAGCCATTTCCAAAGGCTTCTCTGTGTTGTCTCAGGCATAGTCACAGTCACAATTCTACTTCTCAGCACCAGTTTTCTATTAGCTTTCCGTTATTGTTTTGTTTGTTTTTTGGTACTGGGGATCAAACTTGGGACCTTGTGCTTGCCAGGCAGGCGTGGTGCCACTGAGCTAAATCCCTGGCCCTCCGTTATTGTAATATATACTGAGATAGTCAACTTATAAAGAGGAAAGGTTTATTTGGTTCACAGGTTTGGGAGTTTCAACCCATGATCAGCCTGAAGGGATCTTTCATGGTTTAATTAGAACTAAAGCCTTCTTGATCTGCTGTTGCAGGGCATCACTGAGCTCCATGGACAGACTTCTGTTGCAGAACCCATTGTACCCTGTGACTTTTGTTTGCTTGGCTGCCTCTCCTATACTGTGAATTATTTGGGTTTAGTGACACTCCTCTCTGTATTCCCAGGGCTAGTATAGTATCTCCAAGATTGAAAGTCTTTATAAATTTGCTCTGAATGAGTGGAAGGAAACTTAAGAAAAGATCTGGAAAATTTATATTTAAAAGAAAGTCTTGCTATTATTTTCGAACCACAAAGTGAAAGTTTCTTTCCTGGACGTAGGTGAGGCAGCTTCATTTGTTGTTATTGTTCAGTGTACAGCCTCCTTTTACACTTCAGTGTGTGATTCGGCTTGGTGTCTAGTCCCTCAGGAACATGTACCACCCGATGCTTGGTCTGGACAGCTGTATTGTCCTTCAGGCACCTCTGTCTCCCTTAGGGTTTCATGCAGAGGGTTTCTGTGGAACCTCTGATGTGACTGGCGAACATCATTCCATGCCTCATCTCCTTGACACGGGAGAGATCTTCCTGGGGAACCTGTGGGACTTACCACCCCTATTTCCTTTGGGCAGGAAAATATTCTAGTACCAATCTTTGGGTTAGGCATGGAAGTTACATCTGGGCAATGAAGGAGTCATCCTCAGAGTCAGACATGGTGGCATGTGCTTGTAATCCCAGGTACTTGGAAGGTGACGGCAGGAGGATTGCAAATTCTAGGCCAGCCTGGGCAATTTAGCAAGACTCTATCTCAAGGGGGGGTGTGGCTTAGTGGTAGAGCACTTGCCTAGCATGTGCATGGCCCTGGGTTCCATCCCCAGTAGAGGTAGAGGATGAGAGCCGCCCTCAGCTGTTACAGGGGCTGCCACACCGAGTTCACGTGTCACCAGCATCTCTTGGCTTCCCTAACCAGTCTCTTAGCCCTGGGCCTCAGATCTTGCTACTGAGAGGAATCCTGCCTACCCTTTCATTTAAGTAGCCAGAACATGGAGTAGGAAGAAGACAGTTTGCCTTTTCTCATTATTTTGGGCCCACTTGGGTCCAAAATGATATGTATGTGAAATGCCACTGGGTGTCTCAGGCAAAAGACACATTTTGCTGTTTTGTTTTGTTGTTTTGTTTTGTTTTGTTTTATTGAGCTAAGATATTGCTATATAGCTCAGGCTGGCTTTGAACTAACTTTTGGCAGTCTTCTTGCCTCAGCCTCCTGAGTGCTGGGATCACAGGCTTATGCCACCACATGTGGCTTGAAGTCCTATATAACTGGATTTCAGCCCTGGCTCCCAGGTTTCCTGGCTCTGTGATTTGGGCCAGCTCCAAAGGGCTGCAGGCATGAGGAGGAGAGATTTCTAACCACTGGATAGAACTGTGTGGTGAACAGGAGTGATGAGTCAGGGAGGGGCTGAGGCTGAAGAGAGGTGAGCAGCCTTCAGAGGCTGGAGGAGAAGTGGCAGCTGGTTTCTGGGAGCTGGATGTCCTGGGTCAGAGTGGAACTAGGTGCAAGAATGCCAAACTGCTACAATGCTAAGCCACAGCCCTGGGCTCCCATAGTGCCCTCCAGAGAAGAACTTTGGGCAGTGCTAACCCTAAAGGTAGGGGCTGTATGGGATGTGCTATGAGAAACAGAGAGGAATGGGGGGAAAGCCAGGCAGAGAATGTACTGGCTCCTGTTATCTCTTGGTTTTGCATCTGCCCTCAACTCTCTGGCCCAGGCTGTGCTGCCACTTCCTTTCGGTCTCTTGTAGATTCCTGGTGGGCAAGGACTAGGCAAGTTCTATTTCTTTATAGCCTGTATTTATCCTGCTGGTTTCAGGCCACTTTCCTGGCAGCTCTCTGCCAAGGTCCTGGAGGGTGAGACCAGCCTCTCTGATTATTGGCCCCCAATACCTTCCTGGGGAGCTCAGAGCTGGGAGACTTGTCCCCACCGACAGTTCCTGCCCCTTCCCCTCCTTTGTCATTCACCCTCAACTTCTTTCTCCCCTCTTCTGTCCATCCTTTCAGATAGACAGAGCTGACGAGCATGTCTCCCCAGCCTATCAATTCATCAAAAATGAATGACTGGTAATAATGATACTTGATGTTTCTTGGGCTCTTACTATGTTCCACGTAGATTTTTAATCTCAAAAGCCCTTGAATAAAATGCTGTAATTTGTTTTTTTACAGATGGGGCAATTCAGAGTGATGAAGAATTTTACCTAAAATTCAAAAGCTAAAAGTCAATGGGATCTGGTTTAAAAACTTAAATTAGAACCCTTATTTATGTATCTCAGAGCAGATGCCTTCAGCCTCATGCCAGCTATAATAGCCTGTTTTCTGTTACTATAAAATGTCTGAGGCTGGATAATATATACAGAAAAGAGATTTACATCCAGGCATGGCAGCATATGCCTATATTTCTAGTTACTCAGGAGGCTATGGCAGGATTATCACTTGAGCCCAAGAGGTTTATTTAGCTCATGGTTTTGGCAGCTGAAAGCCCTTGGTTTGGCCTTTGATGAGGGCCTCAGGGTGTGTGTTGTCACTGTGGTCAGGGTAAGTGTAGAAGAGACCACAGGGTGAGGCAGGAGCCAGAGCGTCAGGGGTCAGGTGTACCGTTTTATAACAACCCCTTATTGTGGAAACAGACCAGGGTCCCATGAGAACTCCATTAATCCCGCTGAGTTGCAGCCCTCAATGAGTGACCTAACTACCGTCCCCAGGCCCCATGTCTTAGATGTTCCACCACCTTGTTCCACTGTGCTAGACACTAAGCCTCAGCACGTGACCCTCTGGGGACCCTACCCTGACCATGTCCACACCCTGCACTAGGCTATTCTATCTTCAAAGAGATCTGAGTGTTTCCTGCTCTCCTTGGCCTAACATGTTTGCTGAATGACTGCTAAAGTCATATGCACCACTTTCCCTTACTTTGTACAAAACTGATTTTCCTATAACCATAATCATCCTTCAAGAGTCAAAATGTGTGTATATTTCAAAAATCATCACCTGTCTTGAGAAGCCCTTCAGTGTCTCTCTTTATACCTTTAAAAAAGTTATTTCAAATTAGCCAGGTGTGATGGTGCATGCCTGTACTGTAATCTCAGCACGGCGGAGGCTGAGGCAGGAGAATTGAGGAGTATAGAAAATCTGAGGCCAGCTTTGGCTACATAGCAAGTTTAAGGCCACCCTAGTCTACATAGCAAGATCCTGTCTCAAAAAACAAACCAAGAAAAGTTGTTTCAGATTAAAATGAAACTAATTCAGTCTCTGATTTATCTCTTCACTTTTTCAATGAGCAGAGGCTTAGTGACTTACAGAGAGAGGATCACACAGCAGGTTAATAACAGTCAGGGCCAGACCCTGAGTCGCCTGGCACCTGGTCTAGTATTACTCTGATCTGCTTAACAAATGAAATTTTACTAGCATCAAGAGAGTGAGTTTTCCTTTGTATTACAGAAGCTAATTTGTGTTTTACAGAAAAGAGGTGTGTGGGTTTTTAGCCTCAAGGCCAAGTACAATGAGTTGGGGTAATTTACAGCTATTATTTTCCCCATCTCCAAGTAGATTCCTGGATCCCCCAGAAGTGTTTCTAAGCTGCAGAAAATCTCCCCTGAAGTCTTCCTGCTCAGGTGTTTCAGCATGAAGTGCCTCACAGATCACTTCACTCTTTGGCCAAAAATACAGCATAAGAACACCCTCCTGGCACTGCCTTTCTGTACAGGTGTGGTCCTCCTTACCAAGCTCCTCCTGCAGCACTGCAGGCTGAAGGACACTCACACCCGCTGTGGCACGGTCAGTTCTTTGTGTGTTAAGGGCAGGATGTTCAAAAGTTGAAGCCATTGACTTGCAAAATGAGAAACTGTTTTGGAGAGCACTTTGTCCTCTGTACTTGTGGGACTTAGAGCATTGTCCACACTGGTTGGCCGCTAATTTTCATGGAGTTCTTACCAAGAAAGTAAGACCGTACTATCAGTTACCCAGCATCAGAGTGTGGCGGAGGAACTTCCAAAAGTCCCAGAGAGGTTTTTACCATATCTCTAAAGGCACTTGGGGAAAGGGATTGGTGCTCCCATTTTTTACATATGAAAAAACGCCTGGAAAGACCAAGAAGTTCCATGTGCTTTTCATTCATACAGCATAAAATGTTAATATGTAGGACGTCTGGGTTAATGTGGGAACTCTTTATGCTAATTTTGTAACATTTTTATGTAATCTGAGATTATACCAATATCAGAAGTGAAATTAAAAAATTAAGCAGAGAATAGCAATGATTAGAAGAGAAATATACAGTACATAGTCTTCTTTGCAGTACTTACTAGGTTACTTTTCTGTCTCTGAAGAGATAGCAGTCTCTGCTTCTAGGTCCCCAAGCCCCTTCAGTGAGGAGACAGCTGAGAAGGCTGCTGATATTTGGGGTCCCTCTCCTGTGTCTTCCCAGGCATAGTGAATCCACAAGCCGCCCTCATTCGTGGCACACAGCCAGATTTGAGGAGCACCAGTCCGAAGTCAGCATGATGCGGATATCTCAGGGCACAGTGGGCCCCCCCTGGCACCAAAGCTACCATTCCAGGTAAGTGGCTGCCGCTGAGACCAAGGGGTTTCTTGCAGACATCATATGCCTAGAAAAGAACATTTTCTTCTCACCCTCACTCTGAGCATTACGTCTCCCCCTTGATTCTCCTCTTCCTCCTCCTAAAACACCTGCTGTTGTGAATGAGTCATTATGCTAGATCACCTTGAAGGGAGGTGGAAATACTTGGAGCACTGACTGGTCACTTGACATAGCTATAGAGCTCATCAGATATTTCTCAATTACCCACTACAATACTATATTAGAAAAATCGACAGATTCTTTCTCAGTGCTTATGTGTCCTATCGGCTTTAGTCAAAATTGTCTTCTTTTTATTTGAGTGATTCTATTTGTGCGTTTGAACACTCTGCTTGCTTCTCCCCCACTCCAAGGCAATTTATCTTAGCTCAACAGCAACAACTGGGATAAGCAGGACTGCTGAGTGCATACATGATCTCATGTCATCTTGTATTCACTTCTTTGAAGCTGATACAGTGTGGTTCATGTCACTTTATGGAATAGAAAATTGAAGCTTGGAAAAATTCACTTCTCTAAGAACAGCCCATCAATGCCCAAGTCATGAGAAATCCAAGCCGGGTTCCACAGCCTTTGCATGTAGTTGCTAGGTTGCTAGGTTATCCATCCTCCACTTGTTTAGTCATTGGTGTGACAGGCAGGGTTTGGTCAGGAAAGAGAGTTGTGGGAGAGAGGGGATTTAGTATGGAAATCAAACCTTACACAATTGAGAGGAACTGGGGAAAAGGGAGCCAACCCTTCTGACATATTAAAGACAAAACTAAGGACCCCCTGCACCCACTACAGACACAAACTGGCATCTATCCGACTCTACAGTGTATCACTTTTGGGAACAGCTTAGAGAGGAAATGGTGGGGGCGTGGGAAGGTTAAGAGAATAAAGGTCATTTCAGGTCCTTATGTTCAAATGAGATATAAGTACGGAGTGTGTGGTAGGGAGGGGGCTCACCTAGCTCTGGGAAGGATTACTTCCAAGACCCAGTCACAGCCCCTTATGCTCATGCCTGGTCCAATCAAGGGCCAAATCCTGGATTCCTCACTGGTGGACGCAGGACAGACTTCTCCTGGTATATTAGGGTAAGAGATGATTCCGGGTGCCCCTCCCTATTATAGATCCTCTTTTTTGCTTACCGTAGCTCAGTTGCCCTGAAGGAATTTATTGTGTCCATCTGAGCCATCAGCTGTCAGGGAGTGGGTCCCCTCCTTAAGGCCCTTCCTACCAAGGTCGACACCTTTGCTTCATAGGCCTGGGGTGGCTGAGGGCCTTTAGAAGGTGAGGAGTAGGAGCTTGAAGAACAGCACAGCGGGAAGTACCTGGGCTTTTAAATTTGCCTGGGTTTAACTCTTTTCACCAGCTACTGCAGATCACTTAACCTCTTTGATCTTGGCTGCTTTTTCTGTAAAATGAAATCAGACCCATGTCACTTGATCATTGTAAGGATTAAATAAAATAACATGCAGTTCCTGTTACATAGTAAACCCTAAATGATGGCTAATTATAATAATCACGCTGAAGATTTAGAGGCACGGTGAAAATTGGTAATGAACTCGAAGTTTGGGGCATAAATCAGCACACACTTATAAATGCAGGAGTGTATTAACAGAGTGCCCTGAACAGTGGGAACCTTTGGGGCTTTCTAATACCTAACCTTCTTGGAAGCCTTAAATCTGAAGTTGTTCTGGAGACTAAAAAATGTGCTGGCCCCTACCGAAGAAATAAGACTACTGCTTATAGTAACCATGGTGAACTCCTGCAAGCCTCAGGGAATGGTGGAGGTGGCCTCAGAAGTGCAGTGTTGTGAAAGCAACGCCTCTTCCTCCCCATCCCAGCCTCCAGAGGATGTAGGCAGGTTGATCTATCTCCTGCTGTGTCTACACAAAGGAACAGGAAAAGTCAGATTACCCAGAATGCAGCAGGCATGTGTAGCCCTCCCCCAACCCAACCCCCCCCCCCATCCACTCACCCCGGCATCTTTTCATTCCAACCTCAGGCCAGCCTCTGGGGAGAGGGCTCCTCCTACCTTGGGCCCTGCTCCTGGGTCTGATGGGGCCCTTGCATTTGGAGACGGGCTCTAAGTGTGTGGCGAGAGAGCACAGGGGCATCTAGGGTTTCCTTCTGACAGCCAACCTCAGGCCTAAGTTTATGGATGTTTCTCATGAAGAAGCAGCAGTATGAGGAAGGTGGATAGGGAGGGTCAAGAGTGAGGCAACAGGAAGAGAGACGGACAGAGATGCTGAGGTCATCTACTTCTTTCATCTTGGGTGAGGGGGGTCCCTTAAGGCTGGAGCCCAGGCCTCGAACACACAGTGCTCTTACACTGAGCCACACTCCCAGCCCAGGACACCTGATTGTAAGTGTGTATGAGCTGGGTTGGATTTGAAATTTCACTGAAATTTATTTCCATTGCTTCCTGCCAGACTGTTGTCTCTGTCTTTTCATTGCTCTACAGAAATCTCACATAGTGCTTTAAAGCTATTAAAATACTTAAGAGACCTTGAAAAGTCTTGTAGGCCATCCCTCTGACAAGAGGCTGAAATAACAGTATCAAAATAGTAAAGTATCAGCACTTAGTGATGCATTCATTCGGCAAATGGGAGCACCCATTACTACATCGCAGAGATTTCTAAGTGTAGGGAGTACAATAAACAAGATATGAAATACCCCCTATTGTACAAACTTGTTTCTCTGAGTATATTCCATAGAGTGATAATCCATTAGCTTCTCCATGGAAAAAAACATTTCTAGGGTCAAATAAGTTTAGAAACAGTGCTTAGCACAGTGGTAACAAACCTATGGCACGAGTGCTGCAGTGGGCTGTTTGTTATTGAAAGGCTCACCATCGTTGGTCTAGTATGTTTCCCTTTGGAAAAGCAGATGAGCCGGGTGCAGCGTGGCATGCCTATAATCCCAGCTGCTCAGGAGACTGAGGCAGGAGGATCCAAAGTTCAGGGTCAACCTTGGTAATTTAGCAAGACCTCATCTCAAGAAGAAAAGAAAAGAATATCAGATGTACAATAGTTTGTGGAAGACTCAGAAGTCTTGCAATAAATAAAATTGTTTATTAAGGCTAGTATCTTCCAAACGTGTTTGATTATCTAAGAAATTGGCGATATGTGAGTACACTTTAGAAAATGCTTACATACACTCGTTATTTGTTCTTTACTCTGTTTTAAATAAACATACCTTTAAACACATAAAATAGTTATATAATAATATATTTCTGCCACAGAACTAATATTTTATTCTTTGTGCTTCAGTTCTTTAGATGTTTTGAGTAGAATTGAAGTCTTTCTCATATAACTAAACCGATGTGCTGTAAAGTCAAGTAGAGCTAAGTGCTATGAAGAAAATAAAGAGAGTGGTGGCATAAGGAGTGCAAGATGCTACTGAGTTAGTCCCAGGCAGTCCTTTCGGAAGCAGAGACTTGAGTACAGGAAGGCACTGCACCAGGAAGAGAGCATTCCTGCTTTGGGGGAACAGCAGGTACAAAGGCTTGAGACCCCAAGACTGGCACCTATCTGGGGGATTTGGGTCAGTCACAGGCCATTGCTATGCTGATATGCAGTGAGCAGGAAGCAGAGCACCAGACCAGGAGGTTGGAAAAGTAGCCAGGCCACACTCAGGCTGTGTTCCTGATGGGAAGACTGCCTTTGTATGGGTTGGAACTGTGACTAGATTCAGGACACCATTCCAAATTGTTCTCACCCTAAAATTGCCATCTTGGGAACAGAAATGGCAAAGTTAATTGAAATGAATATCTCCAGACAGAAGCGGAAAAAATTGTTCCTGGAGGGTGACATCAGAGCCCATATTCCCAGGGAGCTCAGGAATGGCAATTCCAAAGGGATCAGACCGCTCCTGGGACAGGAGGGAGAGCACTTCAGAAGGGCTTCACATGATGATCTCCCCTGGAGGTTTGCTACAGAAAGGACCCCCAACCCACATTAGTATGATTTCATATTTCTAGACCCCATCTATATTTTCAGCTATGTTAGTGATGACACTTTCCTCACTCAATAATATTTCACAGTCAACTGTGAGTTTAAACTCTTTGATTTGTGTGTTCCCAAGTTAGATTTTAATTATTCTTTCAGTAAAAAACTGCTGAAATCCTCAGCATTTCTGAGGAAGATTAACACGTTTATGATGGGGCTATCATTCCTGTTTGCTGCCAAGTGACTCTGATGACTGCTAAATTGTTCAGGCTGGCCCTGAGCTTGGAATCCTCCTGCCTCAGCCATCTGAGTAGCTGAGATTACAGGCTTGGGCCACCATGCCCAACCTATTATATTTTGAGTCAGAATATAGTCCTTTTAGTCTTTAGATTTATTCTCTGGAGACATTTAAATGATAAAACATTATTGTGCACTTGACCAATAAGACATCACATTTCCTCACATTGTATCTAGGAATAGAATAACAGCTCCATGAATCTTAATATGCTTAAGTAGCTATTCATTTAAAAATTGAAAGTTTTAGGCAAGAACTCATAGTAATTTAGCTTTCTTTAAAGGATAGTTTGAAATACAGAGATTCCTATTTGAGTTTTGAACCACTTATTCCTTCCAATGTGGCCTTCCCCTAGATAAATAGGTATGTTTTTGTTCTGTTTTATGGTGCTAGAGAAGCCAGGGCCTCACACATGCTAGGCAAACCCTCTACCACTGAGCTGCACTCCTAGCCCAGGTATATTTCTTAATAGAGTTTAGTTTTTAGAACAATTTTAGGTTCATAGTGAAATTGAATGAAGGTGAAGAAGTACACCAACTACCCCCTGGCCCTCACATATGCGTAGTCTCTTGCATTATCAACATGCTCTCCATAGTGCTGTGTCTGTTACAATTCATGAAACTACGTTGACACGTCATTGTCATCCAAAGTCCACAGTTTACCTTAGCGTTCATTATTAATGTTGTGCATTCTGTGGGTTTAGACAAATTTATAATGACATATATCTGCCATTATTTTATAAGACAGAGTAGTTTCTCTACCCTAAAAATCCTCCATGATGTATCTATTCATCTTCCCCTTCCCTCCAGCCCTAGAAACTACTGATCTTTGTACTGTCTCCATATTTTTGCTTTTCCCATAGTGTCATGTATTTGAAATCATATAGTAGGTATGTAGCATATTTGGATTACCTTCTTTCACTTGGTAATAAGAATTTAAGTATCCTCCGTGTCTTTTCATGGATTGATATTTCATTTCTTTGTGCTCCATTGTCTGGATGGATAATAGTTCATCTACTCACCTGCTCCAGAACATCCTGGTTTGCTTCCAAGCAGCTTTGGCACATATCAGTGAATCTGCTACAAACATTCATGGGCAGGTTTTTATGTGAACACAAGTTTTACAGGTCTTTTGGGTAAATACCAAGGAGTGTGCCTAAATCAATTTGACATTTCTAAAACAGAATACCTGAGACAAGTTACTTTATAAGGAAGAGATTTATTCAGCTTATAGTTTTGGAGGCTAGGAGTTCAAGATTGGGCAGCTCATTGGTTCAGCTTCTGGTGACAGCCTGATGGCGGATGGTGTGACAACAGAGAGAAGACAAAGGAAGAGGTCACATCTTGAAATAGGAAGCCCGAGAGCAATTCAGACATTGAGCTCTTAAAAGAGTGAGTTGTTCTAAGAGCTTCCACCAGACTTATTTCACTGTCTTCCAATGGTCTAAAAACCTCCCACTAGACCCTACCTCTTTATTTTTGTTTTGTTATTTTGTTCTATTTTGAGACAGTGTCTCACTCTGTAGTTCAGGCTAGCCTTGAACTATGCAGCACAGGTTGGCCTCAAACTCTCTAAGATCCTCCTGCCTCAGCCTCTCTCCTGAGTGCTGAGATTATAGGCATGTGTCACCACGCCCATCTTTCATTATCACCACCCTGGGGAACAAACTTTCAGCATGTCAACCCTTGGGGAACAAACCACATCCAAAATATAGCAGAGTGTGCTTCCTGGATATAACAATACTTTCAGGGTTTTAAAAAATTTTGGTTGGTTTTTTTCTTTTTTTTTTTTGAGAGAAGATCTTGCTATGTAGTTCAGGCCAGCCTTGAACTCACTGTGTAGCCCAGCTCAAACTCACAGAGATAACCCTGCCTCAGCCTTCCAAATGCTGGGATTTTAGGCATGTGCCATCATGCCCAGCAAGAATATGTTTAGTTTTATAAGAAACCACCAAACTGTCTTCCAAAGTGGCTTTCTCATTTTGTATTCCCACCAGCAATGAATGAGACTTCTTGTTGCTCCACGTGGACACCAGAATCTGGTGGTGTCAGTGCTCTGGATTTGGGCCGTTTACAACTTCAATTTATATTTACATTCCCTAATTTACATTTAACTCTAACCCTAACCCTAAATGGTGTGGAGTGGTAGCCCATTGTTTTACATTGCTGTTCCCTAGTGACACCCAGTGTGGAGCATCTTTTTATATGCTTAGTTGCATCTGTATCTCTTCTTTGGGGAGGTGTCTGTTAAAGTTGTTGGCCTATTTTTTTTTTAATTGGGAGTTTCTTAATTGAGTTTGAAGAGTTCTTTAGTAATTTTGTTTTGAGGCAACTTTTTTGAGGTATGCAGTGCCAAGATTGAGTCTTTTCCTCTCTTCCCTAGCCGGAGTCTGAAAACTGCCTGGAGAAGCCTGTAAATGTGAAGGTCTTACCCTTCTAAATGTACATTGTCATTCGTAGTGATGGAATCCCAGCACCCAAGATCCTCCTGTGATTAAGATTGCTTTTAAAGTTTCCTTCCCCTTTCTTATTTCCTTCAGCTTTTTCTGACTAATTTCCTTCTTTATTTCTGTCATCTAGCCTTTTTTTTTTTTTTGGTACCCGGGATTGAACTCGGGACCTTGCACTTTCGAGGCAGGATGCGGAACCACTGAGCTAAATCCCTGGCCCATGTCATCCAGCTTTGTGTGTAGCTTTCAGTTCCTTAAAAAGGAAAGATCCTGGGGCCAGGAATTTAGCTCAGTGGTTCCACCACCTGCTTCACAAGTGCAAGGTCCAGAGTTTGATCCCCAGTACCAAAAAAAGGGAAAAAAATCCTAACTGAAAACATATACTTGTGTACATAAGTCTCCCTCATCCCTTCATGTGCCTATTCTTTCACTAAACTTCTCTTTTTCTTCCCACAGACAGAAAACAATAGGCACAAAATTTCAGTCTTTATCATCCTTTCTCCTCTTTTTCTCTTTTTTCATTTCCTACCTCTCTCATTTCTTGGAATTTCCATAATGTCATTTCCAGCACAGCAAATCACATCAGTGTGCTATCTGTGTTCAAAGGCTGTGACTTCCTCTGCAGGCCCTGTTCTTCTCCTAGCAAGTTTGAGTGATTAATTAGAGCCCCATCAGCAACAGCCCTGGGCAGTTAGTCCCTTATAGGAGCTGAGCAAAGCCCAAATATAGCCCTTTTTACCCACCTTTCCAAAAACCAAACATCTTGCACAAGAGTACATTTATAAACTGGTCTGTGCCTGTAAGCCTGCTGAATGATAACTACTTAGTGGTGCTGACTGCTTCCATGCCCTATCTTCCAGCTCCTCTACAAGTGACTTCTCCAGTTACGACCATGCATATCTGAGGAGGAGTCCTGACAGGTGCAGCTCCCAGGGGAGCATGGAGAGCTTGGAGCCCAGTGGGGGTTACCCACCCTGCCGTCTTCTCTCCCCTGCCAAGTCCACCAGCAGCATTGACCAGCTCAGCCACCTCCACAACAAGAGGGACTCGGCATATAGCTCCTTTTCCACCAGTTCTAGCATCTTGGAATACCCACCCCCTGGCATCTCTGGCCGAGAGCGCTCAGGATCCATGGACACTATCACTGCCCGAGGTGGCCTCCTGGAAGGGATGAGGCAAGCAGATATTCGCTATGTCAAGACAGTCTATGATCCCCGGAGGGGAGTCTCAGCTGAGTATGAGGTGAACTCTTCAGCTGCACTGCTCCAGGGTAGGGAGTCCCAAGCCTCAGCAGATGGCCAGGCCTATGATAAGTGGCAGAACATCCCTCGGGACAAAGGAGCCCCGTCCTCGTCCTGGAGCCAGCAGTGTCCCAGTTCCTTGGAGACTGCCACAGACAACTTGCCACATAGAGTCGGTGCGCCCCTGCCCCCAGCTCGGAGCGACAGTTATGCAGCCTTTCGCCACCGAGATCGGCCCAGCTCCTGGTCAACCCTTGATCAGAAACGATTCTGCCGTCCTGTAGCACACTCTTCAGGCTCCCTGAAGGCTCCCTTTATAGAGGAACAGTTGCACACTGTACTGGAGAGGAGTCCGGAGAACAGCCCCCCAGTGAAGCCCAAGCATAACTATTCCCAGAAGGCCCAGCCTGGCCAACCTCTGCTGCCCACTGGGATCTACCCTGTACCTTCCCTGGAGCCACACTTTGCCCAGGTGCCCCAGCCTTCTGTAAACAGTAATGGAACACTTTATCCTGCACTGGCCAAGGAGAGTGGATACACAGCCCCACAGGAAGTCTGCAGCAGGATGGCTGCCTTTGATGAAAATGGGAACCAGAACGGAGCTAGTAGGCCTGGATTTGCCTTCTACCAGCCCCTAGAACACGACTCACAGTCCCCAGTGGAGAGGAAACCAGAAACTACAGCCAAGTATGTCCCTTACAAAGTCCATTTTTCTTCAGTGCCTGAAAATGAGGATTCCTCCCAGAACAACCATCTCACACTTCCCCAAGGCAGCAGCCCACATCCCAGTGACAAGAAGAGTGCTCCTAGCAACAAACTGTGTGCTAATCACCATGGCCTCAAATCCTCTCAGGCTCAGGCCTGGCAGGTAGGTGAAGACAAGAGACCTTCCCGGCCTTTGGAGCCCTGGGACTGTGATTTCCAGGAAGACCACAATGCTAACCTCTGGCAAAAGCTGGAGAAAGAAGGCAACTTTGGCAGGACCAGGTCAGCCTTCTCATCTCTTCAGAACATTCCAGAGAGCTTTAGAAGGCAAAGTAGCCTGGAGCTAGGAGGGGGAGCCCAGGTGGGTTCCCCCAGTGGTAGGCCCACCTGTGTAATCAACACCAAGGTAGAAGGTCCAGAGAGGAAAGGTGACCACAGGGGCCATTCGGACAGGCCAGTTTCCTACACACGGCCTGATGGGAGAGCCAGCGCCATGACCTCTGTGCATAGCTCAGAACTCAGGTGTGAAGAGCTGCCCAGCCCAGTGCAGACCTCTGGGCCGGCCGTGAGGAGACTGAGTTCGGGCAGCGCCTCTGCCCTGCAGGCCTTTCCATATGGGCAGTCCCGCTCCTCAGTGCTGGAGAAGGTTTCCAGGATCGAGCAGCGAGAGCGCGGGGGTCACAGACCCCCGAGTGCAGGAGGCCCTGCTCTTGGCTATCACTATAGGCCCACTGGAAAGGCCCCGACTTCAGGTGCTCCGGGGAATGACTTCCAAGAGACTGAAGCTAAGCCTAGTGTCCACTTCCCTGAGCCCCGCGGTGATGGCGAGGGCGATGACAGAGAGCCTGAGTGTGAGGCGGCGGCCCGGCAGCCCAGTGCCTCATGGCGGAGAGGGCCCATCGAGCCCATGGCCCCACGGAGGGACGCCCGCCTGCCTCGCAGCCAGAGCGCCCTACAGCTGCTGGGCTCCGGCACACCTGAGCCCCCCTGCAGCCGCGCTTACAGGGACAGCCTCAAAGACGCGCAGTCCCGCGTGCTGGGTGCCACCTCCTTCCGCCGCCGCGACCTGGGGCCCAGCACACCTGCGCCCAGGAGGCCTGCATCGGCTCACGAGGGGCTGCGGGGTGCGGGGGCCTGGGCGTCCCCACACAGCCCCCGGGAGCGGCGGAGCGCGGGCCCAGCCAAGGGTGTCGCGGGCCCGGCAGAGTGTGTCCCAGCCGAGATCGTGCCCACCGAGGGCGTCCTGGCCAGGCCCACGCCCGCTGCCCGCCGAGGCCCACGCCGCCGCCTAGCGCCCGAGCAGAAGGCGCGCTCCTACTCAGAGCCAGGGCGCATGCATGAGGTGGGTGTCATGGCAGGTGAGGCCGGAGCGCGCCCTGTGCGCGGCCCTTCTGGCCTGGAGTTGAAAAGGCTGCAGCAGAGTGCCCTGGCTGACTATGTGTGGCGCAAGACCCATCTGCGCCCGGGGGCCCCTGCTGGCAGCGGCCCAGCAGAGCCCCCCATGGGGGCTCCCCGAGATCGCAGCAGCTCCTTCGCATGTGGGCGCCTGCGAACGGATCTTCAGGCTCCCTGGGCCCCAAGGGTGCTGCTCGGTTCAGCTGCAGCGTTCAGTGGGCCAAGAAATACCCTAAATGGGGACCACACCCTCGGAGGGCCACCCTCCCGGGGGGCCGCAACAACAAAGTCTGCATCAGCCGAGGACCTACTGGAGCGCTCGGAAGTCCAGGCGGTACCTGTCCACGTGAGGTCCAGGTCCTCACCCACCGCAGACAAGAGGCACCAGGTAAGTCCCTTTGGCCCTGGCAGCATTAAGGCAGTGGCCGTGCCCGGGGGGGGGGGGGGGGCACATTGTTTGGGTTGCATCATTGGCCAAAAGTACAATTATATTGCAATACTTTACTCCATAATAACATGATGAAGATTCGAGAACATCAAAATACTACTTTTTTCTCTGTACATCATTTTAACTATTTAAATAGGTTAACCTATTCAAATATGTTGGAGGGCAGCAAGTTGAAGGACCACCCCTAAGGCAAGAACTCTAGCTAAGGGGCTGAGTTAATGACCTACCCCACGCCCCCACACAACCTCGTTCAGGCTTCCTTTAAATGCAGAAAGTTAAAACATTTGTTTACATGAGATGATTTTTTTCTTAGTCTATATATGTCTATGTTGTTATAGAGATATACCGCTTTTTGTGTGTCTGTGTATATGGTGCACATGTGTACCTTATTTTAGGAAGTTATCTACCCCTGGGTACAAGAATGTGCTGTTAGAAAAAGGGATTACACACACACACACACACACACACAAGTACCCATGCCCCTCCCCATGAATAGACATTGTGTCTTTGTAGTTTGAAGATTTTTTATTGGTACATTTTAGGTATACAATACAGCTACATTCATCATTGGGATCTTGTACCTTTACATGATGTATCTTGGTTCTTATTTTTTCCCCATTCTCCTGCCTTCCCTTCACCCCCTCCACCCTTCCCTATTTACAAAGACTTTGTTTCCATGTTTTTCCTTTTCTCATATTTTTTCTT